CTGCCCAGCCCTAGGTCCCTGCTGGGAACCCCGCCTCTGCCCCCTTGGTACGCTGAGCCTTGGATCGAGAGGCTCAGACCCAGGAGTGGCTGCTTCTGGCAATTCCAGCCCCTCCTACATCCCTGGGCACAGTTGACCAGTAGTGTCACCCACATGGCCTGACCTTCCCAAACTGAGTGCCCCAGATGTCTCTCTCCTGGGCTGACTTGTATTTCTCTGTCCATCTACTAGTGACAGGGCTGTACCGAGGCTCTAGGACCCACGCCTAGGTCATGGTCAAGCTGGTGCGGAAAGTCATCTGCTCCTGCTGTGGCCCTGCCTACCACACCCATCTGTCTGCCCATCCCTCCCGCCCCTGCAACTGGCAGCCATGCCAGGATCACCCTGAGTCTCTACCTCTGCCACCCCTGGATCCATGGCCTATGGTGCTCAGGGTGCCGATGAGGTGATCTTGGGCTGGTCACACCACCTCCCAGAGCCTGTTCAGAGGTGACCATAGAGCATTTCTTGGCAGGTTAGCTAAGGGTTAAGGTGCCCCTGGGTGGCACTGGCTCCACACACCCAAATCCCTGTCCCCTCACCTGCTCAGCATGTCAGATAGGATGTCCAGGGCCTCCAGCTGCATGGCCACATCCTCCTGCTGGGCAATGGCACTGGTGAGCTGGCCTGTGATCTTCCGGCACACGTTGGTGGCCAACCCGGAGCCTGTGCCAGGCACAATGTGGGCACAGTGAGGCCCTGGGCTGGGGGAGAGGCAGTCTCCACCTCTGCCCACTTTCCCTCCAGCTGTGTTCCCAAGCCCACACTTCTGGGAATCTTGCAGATCCAAGCAGGGGAACTTTGGTGGCCCTGGGTGGGACCCAGAGTCTGACCAGACAAAGGAGGGAGCCTGTGTGGGATGACGGAGCAGTGACCTCACTCCTGCCCTGGCCTTCCTCCTTGACCACTTCCACTGGGCAGTGGAAAAGCTACACGCTTCACTGGCCCTCCCACAGGAGAGCAGCCAGGGAGCAGCCAAGTGACCAGTTCTGCCAGTGAGGCAGCGTAGGAGTCTTCTGGAGCTGGGAGAGAGCGTGCTCTTTTCTTATAAAATGGAGAAGAGGTGAGCTCGGACCTCAGCACTGTCCACATTGAGCTTCAAAAATGGAGTGGCTGATCCCTCCAGATGTTGTGTAGCTTTCTTTCTTTCTTTCTTTTTTTCTTGAGAGCTTGTTGGGAGCTTGTTCTAGCAGGGAATGCAGCTACTCATACACACTTGACCAAGGAAAGGGTCCTTCTCTATTGGGGGTGGTCATCCTCTTTACCAAGAGCCCAGCTTCAGGAGGGACGCACATGGAGCAGTGAGGGAGGAAGGGGACACCCGTCTAGCCAGTCAGATCAGCTGAATCAACCCTGGCAATCAATGAGATGACAGATGTCACAGCCAGATGGCCCTCCATCCTTTCTTTTTTTCTTTCTTTTTTTTGAGTCAAGGTCTCATTACTGTAGCCTGGGGTGGCCTCAACCTCACAGTGATCCTCCCGCTGCAGCCTCCCAAGTCCTGGGATTATAGGCGCATATCACCCCACATGGTTCATGTTGCTTCTTAACCTGCCATTCTGTGCACCTCAAAGCATTTTTATCAGACACAGAGCAAGAATCTAGTTCTGAGTTGGATGTCACCTCCTAGCTGAGGAGCTGCTGCACTGAGCCAGTTTTTTTAACCATGAGCTGGGACAAAAAGCAGTGTGCCAAGTTCTGGAGCCTGGGTACCTGTGGCTGCAGGTGGCAGTTCTGAGAGCACAATATTGAGGCCGATGCCAGCAATATCCCGGAGCTGCTCCTTGTCGGACCGCATACTGGCACAGAGGGCATCCACGATGGTCTCCACCTGGCACTCCTTCACCTTGCCCACCAAAGGACCCAAGCTGGGTAGGAGGCAAGCTCCTGAGTCAGCTGCTTCTGAGGCCTGTGCTCCGGAGCTATAGGGGTGGAGGAAAGGGCCCCGCCCAACAGGGACCCTCTGCTCTGCCCACACCTCATCCTGGACCCTGCATGGCACCCAATGGCTCCATGTGCCCTGCTCTGTGGCCCTCATGCCTCTTGTGAGCTGGGGATGTGCAGCTCTGGCCGATTCCCATGAACACTGGTGCTGGTCATCAGGGCCCCCACACCAACACCTCAGAGCCTGGTCCTGGGGCATTGGTTTTGGTAAAAATGGCTGCACCAGACTGCCTGGCTCCCAGGCTGCTGCACACTGCTGCCACTGGGCACCACCCTTGGGGAGTCTGAAATACCTGGTTTCAGGTGTGGCCTGGCTGGTCAGACTTTTTATTTTTAGTACTAGGAATTGAACCAAGGGCCTTTGCACTGAGCTACATTCCCAGCCCTTTATTTTTTGTAACAGGGTCTCACTAAATGGCAAAGTTGTCCAGGCTGGGCTCCAACTTGATATCCTCCTGCCTTAGCCTCCTAGAGTCTGGAATCACAGGTGTGTGCACCCTACCTGGCCCGGTGGGATGTTTTAACTCCACAAGTGGTTTTAATGTGCATTCACAGTTTAAAAACCCTACCCTCAGCAAGCGGTTCTAGGCTAGAGTACGTCCAAGTTTGGACCACAGGTACCAGCTCCTCACCCCCTTCCTCCCCCTGACCTCAGTCCCCAGCCCTCACCATTCTCCAGCAGCCAGTGCTATAGCCCTGCCTGGTGCCTTTCTGTGGTTGAAGGAGATAGAAAACAACCTTCCATCCTAACAGCTACAACCACAGATGGGCAGAGGAGTCACACTCCAGCTTCCTCATCCTGCCCCAGAGGTCCGCAGGGGATTTAAAAACTCAATTCCTCCATCTGGGTATGGTGGCTCATGCCTGGCATCCCAGTGCTCAGGGGACTGAGGCAGGAGGAGGGTTGCCATGAGTTCAAGGCCAGCTTAGACTAGAAAAAAGAAATCTGCGGGGCCTTGCCTGGGTCTCTTTTCCTTCTTCTCCCTCCCTCCTTTCTACTGAATTTCCCAGGATCACCATCTCCCAAATCAACTGGGACCAAAGTCCTGGTTCAGGGTCTACTTTTGGAGGAAGTCAGCTTGAGCCACTGTCCAGCCTCTGGTGCCCTGGATCTGCAGGCAGGTCCTCTCTCAGGCTGTCCCCAAGGATGGGGCCCCTGGGTGACTCACCCCACATGGCCCTCCTGTCCCCCTGCTCACCACCGCACAGCCAGGTTCTGCACCTCGCCGTTCTTGTCGTCCAGGAGCCTGAGGAGCATCTTCACAACCTTTCGCTCACTGTCCTCATCCAGCTGGATAGAGTCTTTCTGCAGCTCCGCCATCAAGTCACTGGTGGCCATGAACCTAAGGGCCAAGGAGATTCACAGGGCTGCGTCCTTGTGGACACCCACAGCTGGCTCCATGCCTGGGGCAGATGGCAAGCTGGGTGCGGCTCCAGCTGCGGCTCAGCCTGTGTCCCTGTCTGAAAGTGGGAGTGAGCACAAGACCCTCATGAAGCCATGGGGGCCATGCAGGAGCTCAAAGACCACACAGCAGCCAAGGTACAGGGGCAGGTGGGCAGAATGCTGTGCCCAGCCCTGCAGGACACCTAACCCGGGTTGCAGCCTGGGGTCCCCCTCGCACATTCTAATAAGTCCCTGGGTGACACTCAGGGTGGAGGACTGAACTTTGGAAAGCACTGCCCCAGGCCATGCTGATGGACCCAAGACACAGAAAAGGCGGCCAATAGGCAACTGGCAGGTCACCAGCCCTGGCTCACTGTGGGGTGGGCACTAGGGCTAGGGTCTGTGTGTCCTGAAACCTAACACATGTGAGATTGTGACTGGCCACAGAGCTGGAACAGTGGGGCTTGGGGTACCACCCCTGCCAGGTGAAGCCAAGCAGAGGTTGAATAGTCCCCAGGGGCCCTGTCCCTGCAGGGCTGCTTTGTCATTCCCTGGCTCCCCCAAGACTTGTGCAGAGAATGAGGAGACGTGAGGCCCAGGATGCCCTGCCCTAGGCTACTACTGTGTCACCAAAGGCCATTCCTAGCCTCCTAGGTTGCAATCTTCATGCTGTGGTGGTCCATAGTGCCCTGAGACCAGGTCAGCCCCTGTGCCTATCACAGGTGTTTGTTTTGACAGCTGGGCTGCCTCAGTTGCCAAGAGGAGGCTCTTCTCAGAGAGGTTGCAGGAACTTCCCTAGGTCACACAGTAAACTAGGTGTAACACCAGTTCCCCAGATGAGCCTCCTGACTCCTCCACCCAAGGGACTGTGCTTTCGGAAATGATCTGGGAATTCCTACAAGATTCTGAGTTTATAGGTTTGGTAGGTCTGAGGGAGTAGATGGGATCTGTGCTTCCCCCACCTACTCAGGTAACCCTTGTATCCTTGTCCCCTCCAAGAGCCCCAGGCCACAGTGTTGGTTTTGTTCCAGAGAAACGCTAGATGCCACTCAGCCTAGGGCCACACGGGCATCGGGACAGCTGGTGCTGGGACCCTAAAAATAGCCACCATTGCTGAGGCTCAGCATGGTGTTAAGTGTTCTCAAGCCACTGGCAGGGACAGGCAAAGGCTTCTTGGGCACCAGTCGAGGGGGTGGAATCCATTGCCTGGGGGCCCAGCTGATGTCCCCTGAGCACTTCTGTGTCCCCTGTTGTCCCTGTGGTCCAGGAGCATAGCGGCTCCTGGGTGAGAGGTGACACAACAGAAACATGGTGTGTGTGAGGGAGCCCTGTCCCCAGCGGCACCTGAAAGGGTGTAGTGTGGGGCCCAGGAGATCGGCAGTGCACAGAAGCTCAGCCTTCATCTGGCGCGGGCCCTCCCCCAGGGCTGCCTGGGCCCTCCCTGTCCCTCCTCCAGCTTTGGGCTGGCAGTCACTAGGACTTGAGGGTGGGGTGACTTGTGTATGGTCGGATGCACTGCTGTGAGGTGTGTGTGGGGGTGCTGATTTTGTAGAGTGCTGAGGACTGGGTATTCCAGGCCCCCTACCTGCTGGTATGAGACAGGGTCTCTGCTTTAACCTGGCCGGACCTGACCCAAGTCTCTGCTGTCCAGCTCTGTGGTGACACCAGGGCCCTTCCTACCTCTGAACCTCAGTGCCCTGTTCTGTAAAGTGGGGGCAAAGTGGCACCTGAGGGACTGTGGCCAAGGGGTCCCCAAGGCCTCTGCCAGCTCCAGGGTCCAGCACTGTCCTGTGGCCATAGCCCATCCCTTCTACCCTGGGCCTCAGTTTCCCTTGAGAAGAGAGGCTGAACCCTTTGTCTTCTAGCAAATCTTGTGCTCTGCCCCTGAAGTTCTGAGATCCTGGGCAGGGGAGAGAGGAAGGCAGGACTGGGGAAAGGGTAGGCCTGGGGCCGGAAGCTGTCACAGCGTGGCTACGCCTGCTCAGGATCAGGGTGGGGGTGAGGATCAGGGGTCAGGGCTAGGGTGAGGTCTGGGTGAGGGTCAGGGTCAGCGAAGGAGCAGAGTATCTGGCTTGGGGAGAGGGTGGGGCCAGGCTGGTGGGTGCCCTGGGTTGGAATCAAGGTTAGGATCAGGATCAAAGTTAGAGTGAGGGTGAGGGAAGGGACACAGGAGCCTGGGATGGGGGCGGGGCCAGGCAGGTGTCTCACCCTGGGTTAGGGTCAGGATTAAAGTTAGGGTGAGGGGCAGGGACCAGGTAGAGGAGCAGGTGGGGCGGGGGCGGGGCTATGCTGGCGGGTCCTAGGTTAAATTACGGTGACAACCAGGGTTCGTTGGGTCAGAATCAGGGTCCAGGTCAGAGTCGGGACAGGGGCGAGACCAGCGCGCACCTGAAGTCTTTGTCGCTGGAAGTCATCTTCTCCAGTAGCCCCGCCACGTGGAAGGCTGCGGTGCTCATGGTGCTGCGCGGCTGGGATCGAAATGGCGCAGGCACCCCTGCTTCCCGACTTGGGGACAGAAATAGCAGCGCCCCGCCCGGCAGCCAGGGAGCCTGGGAGCCCGGGAGCCAGGAGAAGCTGACAGGGCGGGCAGCTGGCCTGGCGAGGCGCCCCTGATTGCTCGGCCCTCTGGTCCGCTGGAGTGGATGGCACCACTTGGGCTTGCTTGCACACCCTCAAAGCCCCGCCCGGCAGCCAGGGAGCCTGGGAGCCCGGGAGCCAGAAGCTGACAGGGCGGTCAGCTGGCCTGGCGAGGCGCCCCTGATTGCTCGGCCCTCTGGTCCGCTGGAGTGGATGGCACCACTTGGGCTTGCTTGCACACCCTCAAGGACGGGTAGCTCACTCCCTGTCACAGCACATTGCTGGCTCCCAAGGATGCCCAAGGGTTCTGACTCGTCCAGCAGGCCCCTGGACACTACTCGCAGGCATGGATAGGGTATTAGAGCCTCAAGTTCAAATCCCAGCTTTACCTCTTCTGCAGTGTAGCCTCTGGCAGGTTACTTTACCTTTCTTTATTCCTAAAACTTTTTTGTTTGTTTGTTTGTTTTTCTTTTTAGACAGGGTCTCGCTATGCAGTTCAGACCGGCCTTGAATGCACTATGTAACCCAGGCTAGCCTCCAACTCACGGCAATCCTCCTGCCTCTGTTTCCCAAGTTCTGAGACTACAGGCACGCGCCACCAGCCAGGCTTATTTTCATTTCTGGACTCCAGCCTTCTTCCCTTCTAGGTCTTCAAGAAACAGGAGCTGTCAACCATCCCCCCGTCAGGCAGCCCTCCCCCAACCTCTCCCTCCCCATACTGGCCTGACCCAGCGCTACACAGGACCGGTGAGGTGCCTTCAGTCACACAGCCCCTGGCCACTGTCGCCCACCCTCAGGACCTCAGGCTCACTTTCTGCATTTTATAGCCATGCTGCAGAGGCCTGGGGAAGCAGAGGGAATCCTGGCTGGAGTCAGGGTGACCTCAGATCCCTCAGGCCTTGGGAAGTCTTCTGACATCCAGCTTGTCTACTGGTCCCGGTAGCTTATTTCTTTTTCTTGGTGAATAATGTTCCATTGTGTGGATATCCTGTGACTTCTGTCTAGTCACCAGTTGAAGGACTTCTTGATCGCCTCCAGCTTTTAGTAACTAATTAATAAAGCTACTCCAGTCACAGGAGAGTTTTTGTCTGGACAAAGTTTCCCACATGTTGTGTAAATACCTAGGAGTGTGATTGCTAGTCAGATGGGCTGGCAGCTGTGTATAGCTTTGTAAGGAACTGCCAAAAACTGTCTTCCAAAGTGGCTGTGTAATTTTGCTTCTGCACTGGTAATACATGTTTCTATTTTTTCATTCTTGTCAGCATTTGGAGTTGTCAGGTTCTTTAATTTTAGCTACTCAAATAGTTTTGTAGTTGTATCACACTGTTTAAATTTGTAGTCACATAATGGCAAATGCTTGTTTGCTTTTTGTATATTTTCTTTGATGAGGTACCAGCTCGAAACTTTTCCCCATCTTTAAATTTAGTTTTCTTTAAAAGTCCGACCCTGTTTAAAAAGTTATTTGGGGGCCGGGGATTTAGCTCAGTGGTTCTTCTGCGTGCCTCGCAATCACAAGGACCCAAGTTCATTCCCAGTTAAAAAAAAAAAATCTAACAAAAAAAGTTATTTGTATATTTTTGGATACAAACCTTTAACCAGAAATGAATTTGTAGTTATTTTTGCCTATACTGTAACTTGTCTTTCCATTGTTTTAAGAGTCTTTTGCTGGACAATAGACTTTAATAAGTCCAACTATTTTTTTCTTTCATGAATCAAACTTTCGATGCTGTATCTAAAGCTATTATCAAACCTAAGGTCATACTGACTTCTAAACATTTTATAGTTTCTTTCTTTTTTTTTTTTTTTTGAGACAGGGTCTGACTATGTAGTTGAGACTGACCTGGAACTTACTATGTAGCCCAGGCTGGTCTCGAACTCACAGCAGTCTTCCTGCCTCAGCCTCCCAAGGTATAGTATTACAGGTGTGTGCCACCATGCCCAGAAGCATTTTATAGTTCTTAAGAACACTTTTCTCTCTTTGGTACTGGGGATCAAACTCAGGACCTTGCACTTCTGAGGCAGACGGTGGCACCACTGAGCTAAATCCCTAGCGCATTGTTCTTAACTTTATATTTTGGTCTATGATTCATTTTGAGTTAATTTTTGTGGAAAGTATAAATTCTGTGACTAGATTGTTTTGCATACAGTGATTACAGCACTGTTTGTTGGAAACACTATTCTTTATTCATTGTTTTTGCCTCCTTGTCAAAGATGAGTTGACTGTATTTGGTTGTGTTAATACCATACTGTCTTTTTTTTTTTTTTTTTTTTTTTTTTTT